TATAGACCTTTATTTTATATGTGGTGCTGAGAATCAAACCCAGTACCTCACACATGCTAGGCAAGCACTCTACCACTGAGTCACAGCCTCAGCCCTTAATATATATTTTTAATGATCTTAATATTTAACCCTTTTTTTCACGCTGGGAATTGAACCCAAAGCTTTTTGGATACTATGCATGAGTTCTACCATTGAGCTATTGTCCAGGCCATTTTTTAAAAATATATATTTTTTAGTTGTTGATGCACCTTTATTTTTTTTTATTTTTTTATTTTTATATGGTGCTGAGAATCAAACCCAGTGCCTCACACATGCTAGGCAAGCACTCTACCACTGAGTACAACTCCAGCCCCATCCCGTTTTAAAACAGATTTATTGAGATAAAATTAAAATATCATACATTTTCGCCAATTTAAACTATAAAATTCAATAGCTTTTTGTATATTTGCATACTTGAGCAATCAACAGCACAATCAATTTCAGAACATTTCATTACCTTAGAAAGGAATTCTGCTCTATGTACTGTTACCCTTAATCCCTCTGCCTCTCCATTCCCTGATAACCATTACTCTAATTTCTCTCTCTCTGAATTTGCCTTTTCTGGAAATTTCATATGAATAGGATTACATAATATGTGGTCTTTTATGTCTGTTTAATTTAGCATATTATTTTCAAAGTTCAACCATATTGTATCGTGCATAAGAATTTCATTCCTTTATAAGGCTAAATATTATTCCATTGTAACAATATACCACCTTTTGTTTATTCATTTGTTGATTGATATTTAGGTTGTTTCACCTTTTGGCTATTATGAATCATATTTCTATGAAGACTTTTGTACAAGTCTCTGTGTGGAGACATGTTTTCATTCCTCTTGGATAGGTAGCTAGAAGTAGAATTGTTGGACCATCTGGTAACTTTTTGAGAAACTGCTGGACTATTTTTCCACAGTGTTTCCATCTTTAAAACTCACATCAACTCTGAATGGGGGTTCCACTTTGTTCTCATTCTTGCCAATGCTTTTTATTGTTCATGGATATATTTTTCAGTACTAGAGATTGAACCTGGGGTGCTTTGTTACTGAGCTACACCCTTAGACTCCCTTTTAAAACCTTGAGGATTTTTTTCACTTTTTTTCAATACCTTTATTTCACTTATTTATTTTTATGTGGTGCTGAAGAGCAAACCCAGGGTCTCCCATATGTGAGGCAAGCGCTCTACCACTGAGCCACAACCCCAGCCCTTTTTTTTTTCTTTTTAAATTTGTTCTTTTTAGATATACATGACAGTAGAGTGTATTTTGACATATTATACACACATGGAGTATAACTTATTCTAATTAGGATCCCATTCTTGTGGTTGTACATGATGTGGAGTTACACTGGTTGTATATTCATATATGAACATAGGAAAGTTATGTCTAATTTATTCTACTGTGAGATGGGTCTTGATAATGCTGAGGCTAGCTTCAAACTTGTGATCCTCATTCTTCAGCCTCCTGAATAGATGGGATTATAGGCTTATGTGTTGTTATTGTCCTTTTTTTTTTTCTGGTACTGAGGGTTGAACCCAGGGGTGCTCTACCACTGAGAAACACCCCCAATCATTTTTAAAATTATTTTAAGACAGGGTGTTGCTAAGTTCCTGAGGCTGGCTTTGAACTGGCCATCCTACTGCCTCAACCTACTGAGTCACTGGGATTGCAGGCATCTACACCATACCTAACTTTGTTGCCCATGATTTGATTGTGGTCATCGTAGTGGATATGAAGTGTATCTCATGATGGCATTGATGATGGTGGACAGTTTTCCATGCACTCATTGGCCATTTGCATGTATTGTTGCCTATCCAGAATTTTTATTCATTTTATAATTTGGTTTCCTTACAACTTAGAGGGTTTTGTTTTAGGGAGTGGGTACAGAGGTACTTAACTGCTGAGCCACATCCTCAGTCCTGTTTTTTACATTTTATTTTGGGACAGGGTTTCACTGAGTTGCTTAGAGCCTCACTAAATTGCTGAGGCTGGCCTTTAACTTGTGGTCCTCTTGCTTCAGCTTCTTAAATCACTGGTATTATAGGCATGCACCATGGCAGTATAATATAGAGTTGTAAGAGTTCTTTATATATTTATTCTGGATATAAGACTCTTATCAGCTATATGATTTCTAAATATTTTCTCCCATTCAGTGGGTCCTTTGAAGTACATTTAAAAAATGTGATGATATCTAGTTTATCTATTTTTCTTTTGTTGCCGCTACTTTTGGTGTGATATCTAAGAAACCACTGCCTATTCCAATACCATGAAGACCTATGCCAGTTTTCTTCTACACATAGATATCCAGTTGTGCCAGCATCATTTGTTGAAAAGACTGTTCTTTTTCTATTTAATTGTCTTGGCACTCTGGTCAGAAATAATTTATCTTAGATAGAGGTGTTTGTTTCTGGGCTCTCAATTTGATCCCATTGATCTATAAGCATATCTTCTTACGTCAGTATCACACTGATCAGATTATTGCAACTTTGTTAAGTTTTGAAATTGGGATGTGAGTCCTATGACTTTATTCTTTCTCAAGGTTGTTTTGATTTATCTGGATTCTTGGAATGATATTATTCTTTTGATCACCAACTATCTTTGCAAATAAATGTCTATTTGTGATTTGATTTTATAATTTTTCTTATACAGAAGTTTTACTCCTTCCAATTCTTGTAAAAATGTGATTTTAATAAACATGAATCACATACAGGCATATAGTGCATATTTGTATGAAAAAAAGGACTTATTTAACTCAGGAAGGAAGGATGGTAAAGCTAGTCCAGAGTATTCAAAACATTTATTGAAGACATTTAGAAATAGATATTTAGTTTGCTGGGAAATGAATATTGTAATTAAACTGCCAAGTGACATATAAAAGTGGGTGAATATCATATAGGGCAATAACTGTACTAGTGCTATCTTTTCTACTGGAGAAAAATGATTTGCATTTCTGTTGAACAAAATTATTTCTAGGATATCAATCCTTCTCAAGCTAAGGTATGAGTCTGTACCATTTGTGCCCTAATTAATAATAAATGTTAGTTACCATATACAAAGTTGCATTTTCCTAGAAAATTAGGTAATCCTTGGGAATATTTGTTGGATAATGCTCCACTATGACACCAGATTTATTAAAATCACAAAAATGTGCAATAGTCTTTGCCTTTTTCCAATTTTTATGTAATTTTTCTTAGAAGTCTTCTCATGTAAAAATAGTGACACTTTAAGATATTCTACTGAGCATACAGGAGATGTATATTGAGCCATATACTAGGCCTTTATTTGTTGGTCAACTAAACTGATATTTTATCAATTTATTGTCATTCATTAATTCCTTCTTATGTATCAATTGTATCATAGGGTAGGGAGGTATCCCTCTTCCAGCCTTCAAAACTGTGAAGATAGCAACCTAGAAGTTTTAAATTTTCTGATTTTATTAGTCTTTTCCTTTTTGATTTTTATATTATTCTATACTTGGAAAAAATGTGTTGTGAATTTTCTAATAACTTTCTACATTTAAACTTATTTTCTACTTGTTTTATTCTTCTTTAAAAAAAGTTAAAAAAAATAGGGCTGAGGTTGTGGCTCAGTGGTAGAACACTTGCCTAGCACGTGTGAGGCACTGCATTCCATCCTCAGCACCACATTTAAAAAAAATTAAATAAATATGTTGTGTGTCTACCTACAACTATTTTTTTAAAGTTAAAAAGCAAAAATTGTACACTGCAAAAAGGAACACACTGTTAGAAGTGTGTATCTTTCCCAAACATTTTCTATGCAATACACATGAACAGAAGATAAAAAGTGGGATCAAAACTATAAGTGTTGTTTAGAACCTACTTTCTTTCACTTGAAAATATAGCAGGGCATTTTTCCACATGTATATCAATTTCATAGTTTTTTTTAAAGTTAAAGAAACGGCTTTCCCATCCCAAGATTATAATAATATCTTCCTACACTCATTTGTATCTTATTTATCTTTAACTATTTTTACAACAGTAGCTTTAGTAAAAGAAAATTAACATCATCCTATCCACAGTAGTGGGCAAATAATAAGTGGCTGCTTCCTCTATACTGCCCACATATTCAAGAGAGGTTCCTGCAAACATTCTGCCTGTTAACACATTTAGACAACTTAAAGGTGTGTGTATGTGTGAGTGTGTATGCATGTATGTGTGTTTCCTCCTCCATTCACTGTACCTTTTTTATTTGGCTGCACTCACTTTCTCTAAGGTATAAATCAGTGATTCTCCATAGAGTGTTTAAAAGATCCAATTCGAATGATTGGCCTATATAATATCAGTCCACTTTCCTGCCAGAAAATTTTGGAAAGAATAAGGATTAAAGAGAAGAGTGGCATTTGTAATTCCCACAATGGCTTCCAGCATTGGAATAAAATTGGGGCGAATCCGAAGGTTTGACGGAATTGCTGACTTAGTTTTTACAGTGACACCCCAGACCTCTCAGTCAGCTACTGTGTCTTGGGTTTCTGTAGGTCCTCCACCATCCCTCCCTTCCAGGCCCAGGGGAACTCTAGGCTCAGGGAGAGGAGAGGGCTCCGGCGCCTATCTTTTCCCACTTGGCTTTATTAAGGGGTCGCCTCCTCTTCCTGCTTTTTTGTGCTCTCTCTAAAGCGCGTCAAGAGTTCCAAGCCCACAAGAGATTGCAGTCCAGGTGTGTGTTACTTGGCGCTTCTTAAGACCCCAGTGTTTGGGAATCAGGGATGTGGAGGGCGCTGGGCTCTGTAGCCCCCAGTCGGAAAGCGGAGTGCGCGCGCGCGCTAGTGGGGGCGGGGTTAGGGAGGGCACATTCCGGCTTTGGCTATGGCTCTTTCAGAATGTCCCGGGCTCCTCTCCTCTTGGCGCCTTCAAAGACAGCAGCCCTGACAGGGCCACCTGCCTGCGCCCTTACTGTGCAAACCCCCCGCGCCGCGGAGCTCTGCCTTGGCCAGCACTGGCTGGGATGCTAAGGAACCACCAAGACTTGCACGAGTTGCCATGGGAGTGCGAGGCCGGGCCGTCTCCTCCCACCACGTGCGCTAGCTTAGCCCGGCCTTCCCTCCCCTGACAATGGGCGTCTCCGCGGGGGTTCTCCCTGTCGGCTCCTAGCATCCCTCCTCCGCCTCTCCCGCCTGAGCTCATCCTCCGCGAAGCTAAGCGTGGGCGTGGGTACGCTCCCAGAAACAGTTGCCTTCGCGGTGACTGCGGCCGAAGCGCTGGGCTGGCGCACCGAACTCCAAGGAAGTTCCCGGGCTCCCGGAGCGCCGCACTCTCAGGCCGCTGGCCCCACAGCTCCTGCGAGGGGGCTCCGGCAGGCCGCTGGTGGCGGCGGCGTGGCGGTCTGAGCGACCCGGGGGGCGCAAAGGCGGCGCTCCAGGCGGAGCTCGGAAACTGGGGGCTGGGGCAGCGGCGCCCGCCCGGGACTCCCGCGTGAGGATGGCGGCTGCAGGGTCCCGGCCCCACCTGATTTTGCCAGCGCCCGCGGTCAGGCACTTGCCCCAAGCTGCCGCCTCGGCGCTATGGACTCCAGGCCTCCGGCGGAACCCGGACGGCTACACTTTCATGCAGATAGCGCAGACTGTCCCGCTGCAGGTGGACATGGCCATGGCCCTGCAGCGCGTGAGAATTGAGGAGAAGTATGGCAAGAGCTATCTCTGTCTCCTGCAAGCGGTCTTCGTCGCAGGTAAGCCCTGTCCTTCCTAGCATTCCCCGCCCGGCGGCGGCCTCGGGCGGGCTCCTCCTTCGCTTGCTCCACTCCTCACCCGCTCCCTCCCCATCCTGCTCATGGAGAAAGTACTTTGTCTTCGCTCCACACCCGGCACGCGTGCAAGTCCCCACTGCATTGGCTCTCCCATCTCCGATATCGCTGGGCCATCGTTCTCTGTCCCTCTGGCCAGCCGCCGCGCTGCGGGCGTGCAGGTCTGGTCTCAGCTCGGACCCCGCAGGCGGACCGTGAGAAAGGCCAGAGGCGATGTGGGACTGTCTTTGCGGTTGATTCAGGTCTCGGTATCCGCTTCTCACTCGCATCTCAGAGGTAGGAATAGATCTTGTCTTCCAGCTCTGCACCCCGCACACTAAAACCCAGCGCCCTGAGAGTGCGCTTCCCTTGTAATATTCCTTGAAGGCGGAAAAGCGATTAAACACACACACACACACCAAAAAACACGTGTATTATGGGAAACCAAGTGAAAAGGGGGCCCAGATTCTGAAACCAGTGGAACTGCAGTTGGTTGAGGAGTTGTAGGGAAACAACTGCTGCCAAAAGATTTGGGCATTTCATTCCGACAAGTGCATCTTTCCAGCTTGTTCCGTGAGCTTCCCGGGGTCCTCACTACCAAAGCAGAAGCTCTTGTTTGTCCTTCAGGACAAACAAAACCAAAGCTACGGACTCACAAAACCTTCACTGCCGCTACTGCGGTTTGGTTAAGGGGCAAGAGTGGTGTAAGAATGAACTCCTTGTTCACACAGTTGACCAAACTAGAGTTGCCCAGCTTTGGGATTGGTATGGCTGCAAAGGTACGGAGGGCTGGAGCAGTGGCTTCCAGAAGTTCATAAGGAACCATTCTGATTGGCGCGGGGTGGGGGACATTTGCAAGGTGCTGCAGTTGATGGACATCCCTTCCAGAGCTCCCTTGGTAGCTTTAGCTTATCATGTGCAATACCTTGCAGTGGAAGTTTTGGTATTCTAAAAATAGACTTGGGGGAATGGAGTGGTGGCTCAGTGGTAGAGTGCTTGCCTGGCATGTATGAGGCACTAGGTTTGATTCTCAGCATCGCATATAAATAAATAGAAGACAGCTCTGTTCACAATTAAAGAATATTAAAAAAAAAAAAAGACATGGTAGCAGGTTTTCCCAAATCAGGTAGTCACACCATATGTCCCAAATGTCACCCCTTATTAAAGTCTACTCATGCAAATCTCTTTAGTCAAAGCATGGAAACAGTTCAAGGCTTTGTCCAAGAATTATTGTGCCTGTTTTTTTTTTTAAGGTAGTTAATGGTATTTTCTGTATGTAATAATAAATCATTAAGGGGAGCAAGGTTAGGGGCACAAACTCCTTCAGAACAATTTAAATGGTTTTCACAGGCTACAAAAGAACTTCACTAACATTTTCTGTGCACTGGAGTGGAAAATACTTTACATCTTCTTTTCATTTATTGCCTGCATCATCCCAAAAGCTAAAAGCCATCTTCATGGGAGAAATGTATGTTTAATCACAAAACTGAAAAACAAGTTGGCAGTTCCTTTTTTTTGGGGGGGGGAGGGTGCTGGGGATTGATCCTAGGGGCACTTTACCACTGAGCTACATCCCCAGTCCTTTTTATTTATTTATTTGAGACAAGGTCTTAGTTGCTGAAGCTGACCTCAACTTTGCAATGTTCCTGTCTTAGCTTCCCTAGTTGCTGGGATTACAGGCATGTGCCACTCACTGCATCTAGCACAAGTTGACGTTTCTACTGCCGCTGGTTTGCTGATTTCTCCATTTTTAGAGTTGTGTGATGTTTCTTCTTTGTGAACTTTTGATGGTTTCCTGCATATTATCAGGCTCCTTCCTGTCAGTGTCATTTCAGTGCATCATGGCACCTAAATGACACCAGTTGCTGTGTTGTGCTTTTGCATGAGCTGGCAGGCTTTTGTCTTTCAGCATTTGCAGCCATAACCTCTACCTCCCAACATGCCCTAATGAAAGTATTGTACCCACCTGACTAGTACTTTAGTACATAACTTATTTTTGTTTATTCTTGAGGTATCATCTCTTTATGTTGTCCAGGCTGGTCTTGAATTCCTATGCTTAGATGATCCTCTTGCCTCAGCCTCCTGAGTAGCTGGGGCTACAGGCATGTGCCACTGTGCCTAGCTTGTACTATAACTTTAAATGGGAAACTACAATATGTGCTATGACTTTAAATTTAAAAATATTTATATACCAAATATGTTTACAAAGCTTTTCATTGTGGCAAAGAAAGTTCTGAAAAATCACTTCACCTATGAGGGAATGATTAACTTTGCTTAGGGAGAGGAGAAGACTTCATGGAGACAGGGATGCCTGGCCTGAGTACAGTCTTGAGGGATGCATACAAAGTTCCAGATGGGCAAGGGATGGGGACACGGATATTCTAGCAAAGGAAATAAGATGTGCAAAGACAAGCAGAAACGGGAGAGTATAAGTAGATTTGGGGAACTGTAGGTACATTTATTTATTTATTTTTCTTTATCCCCCAACTCCTGACCTGTAGGTGATTTTAAAATGGTTGGAGCTGGGCATAGTGCCACTCACCTGTAGTCCCAGCTACTTGGAAGGAAGTTTGTGGCAAAAGTATCATTTGGGCCCATGAGTTTGAAACCAGCCTGGGCAACAGAAAGACCCTATCTTAAAAAAAAAAAAGAAAAGAAAAGAAAGAAAAAGAAAAAAAGCTGGATGTGGTGGTGCATGTCTGTAATCCCAGTGACTCTGGAAGGCTGAGGCAGAAACATGGCAAATTTGAGACCAGCCTGAGCAACTTAATAAGACACTGTCTCAAAATAATAAAAAAGAAAGGACTGCGGGTATTGCTCAGTGGTAGAGCACCCCTGGGTTAAATCTCCAGTACCACAAAACAAAACAACAATAAAAACTGTATAAAATTATGGAAGTATATAAAGTATGGAAGGTAGAGGAGAGAAATAAATTTGGAGAGGTAGGCAGGGGCCATATCAAGCAGGGCCTTGCAAAACATGTTAAAAGGGTTTTCTCTTATTTCCAGGGCTGAGGAATATGTTGGCATAATATATATATATTATGCCAACATATTCAAATATATTCATATATATGAATATATTTGTTTGTTTATAGATTTTTATTTTATTTGTTTATATGTGGTGCTGAGAATCGAAGTCAGTGCCTCACACATGCCAGACAAGTGGACTACCACTGAGCCACTGCCCCAGCCCCCATGTTAGCATGTTTAAGCAGGAGAATAGATCAAGGCTGCTGTGGGTGGTTGTATGGGTTGTGTGCTGCAGAATTCTTTGAGGCTCCATGTATGTATTTATTTTTAGTGAGCATTTTTTAATTAGTGCATTATAATTATACATAATAGTAGGTTTATTACATATTTGTATATGCATACTACATAATAGTATATTTTGGTCAATTACATTCTCTAGTATCGCCCCGTTTTCTCCTCTCTTCCCCTTGTTCTCTTCCTCTATTTTACTGGGTTTCCTTTTATTTTCATGAGAATCTCCCACACACTTTTTTTCCCTTTTTTTCTTTCTAGCTTCCACACATGAGAGAAAACATGTGACCCTTGACTTACTGAGTTTGGCTTACTTCACTCTGAGGTTCCATCCATTTTCCTGCAAATGACATAATTTCTTCTTTAAGGCTGAATACAACTCCATTGTGTATATATACCACATATTCTTTATTAATTCATCCATTGATGGACACCTAGACTGGTTCCATAATTTGAGTGCTGTGAATTACACGTGATAAACATGGGTATGCATGTATCACTATAACACGGCTTTTATTCTTTAGAATAAATACCAAGGAATGGGATAGATGGGTCATATGGTGGTTTCATTCCTAGTCCTTGCAGGATCTTGATGCTGATTTCTATAGTGGTTGTATTAATTGACAATCCCACCAATAGTGTAAAAGTGTTCATTTTTTTCTGCACTTCTTCTCTAGCATTTATTATATTTGCTATTTGTATTTGTATTCTTTCTTTTTTTGATACTGGGTATTGAACCCAGGGACCCTTAACCACTGAGCCACATCCCTAGCCCTTTTGTATTTTATTTAGAGACAGATCTCACTGAGTTACTTAGGGCCTCACTAAATTGCTGAGACTGGGTTTGAATTCCCAATCCTCCTGCCTCAACCTCCCTTAGGTGCTGAGATTATAGGCATGTGCCACCATGCCTGGCCTATTATTTGTATTTTTTGGGGAGGTTTACCAGGGATTGAACTCGGGCCCTTAACCACTGAGTCACATCCCCAGCCCTATTTTGTATTTTATTTAGAGACAGGGTCTCACTGAGTTGTTTAGTGCCTAGCTTTAGCTGAGGCTGCTTTTAAACTCCCAGTCCTCCTGCCTCAGCCTCCAGAACCACTGGGATTACAGGGGTGCACTGCTGTACCTGGCCTATTACTCATATTCTTTTTTTTTAAGAGAGAGAGAGAGAGAGAGAGAATTTTAATATTTATTTTTTAGTTTTCGGTGGACACAACATCTTTGTTTGTATGTGGTGCTGAGGATCGAACCCGGGCCACACTCATGCCAGGCAAGCGCGCTACTGCTTGAGCCACATCCCCAGCCCCTATTACTCATGTTCTTGATGACTGTCATTCTAACTGGAGCGAGACAAAATCTTGGTGTAGATTTTTTGTTATTTTTTTAAATTTGTAGATGGACACAGTACCTTTGTTTTATGTATGTATGTATGTATTTATGTGGTGTTGAGAATTGAAACCAGTGCTTCACATGGTGCTAGGCAAGTGCTCTACCACTGAGCTACAATCCCAGCCCCCCAGGGTAGTTTTGACTTACATTTTTTAAATATTTATTTTTTAGTTTTAGGTGGATACAATATCTTTATTTTTTATTTTTATGTGGTATTGAGGATCTAACCCAGCGCCCTGTACACGCCAGGAGAGTGCACTACTGCTTGAGCCACATCCCCAGCCCTTGACT